TAGACACTATATTATATACTAAAAATTTATATTTTCTTAAAGACCCATCCAAAGCACTTTGTGGACCCTAAATTGAGAACGTTGTGTACCAGATGGCTTCATCTGATTAGTAGCTCGACACCATCGAGAGTTCTGCCAGATTTGACCACTCTTAATAGCCAATGAGATGAAAATTGCAGAATTTGAGACGCAGCATCTTAGTTGGGTAAAGCATCCGGTTTCTTAGCAGGCCGAAACCCCTCTTGATCTCAATTGTGCCACCTTTAAAAGCTCAACAAAGACAGCAGATTTTATCACACCCGTGACTGTCGACTGAAGAGTTTCAGTGACTTGGAAAATAAACTATAGCAAATATAATAAGAGGGTAAGTAGCAGAAGAGGTTTAGAGGATAATTCTTAAACTACTCTGCGTGTGTACAAAATAAAGAGGCACGAGGTTAAGATTATTTCTATTTCAACAGTGGGAGTGTTTTCACAACAATTAAAAATGCTCTTCAGCTAACGACGATCTATTTTTAAAATTCTACTGAATCCTGTGCCATATAATAATCGAACGACCCTAGTTGTTCAAGAGAAAATAAACTGAGTAAATTATTGCTTACTTTGAAGTCATCTAAAGTCTTGAATAATAATACCTATAATGACATTAGACCAGTTCGATTCCCACACATGCACACTTTACAGGCTACCTAAGATTCACAAACCTGATTGCCCCATTAAACCTACTGTTTCCAACATAAGTTATTTCAATTCAAACTATCTAAACTCTAATTTTTTCCCGTTTATTAACTGATTTTACTTCTAATAGCTACAAGGAGAAAGAAGATAAAGTTTTTTCAGACAATGTTAGAAACTTGAGAGTTGATGAAGACGTTCCCCTAACCTTCCTCTAAACGAGACTATAGATCTTTGTATTTATCTAGTTTTCAAAGACAATGAATATTTTATTTGAATTGGTTGACAATCTTTCAGACAACTGATAGAATTTGCCAAAAAAAAAAGAAGGAAGAAATGTTTCGGTCAGTGGTGAATTTCATGAACAGGTTAATGGAATAAGCATGGGATCTAGCTTAGCACCTGAGAGGAACAATATTTTCACGAGAACAGTTGCCTGAGGGATTATCCTACTGGGTTTAAATCACTTATTTACAATCGCGATGCTAATGTATCCAAAAGTGAAGATCAGATAGTGAAGTTTGTAGAAGTCAGACCAATATTACTGAAAAAGGAGGGATCGAGCATATAGCCTAACAACAACATGGAGTCAGACCAATATTACTGAAAAAGGGGGATCGAGCATATAGCCTAACAACAACATT